CAAGGCAGAAGATGGGGGTAAGGGAGGGAGTTTGGAGTTAGGCTGGGCATACACTGTACGATACTCAGCAACAACTCAAACTGTACGATGTAATTGCAGGGTTTAAAAGTTCATGGCTCACAATGTATGTACTTACACTGTACAACTTGATGGTCTGATGTTATCTAACTGCTCGCACTGTACGCCCAAAAACCAGACGTTGGTCTTAGTGTCGAGAGATGACGTTGGTCGGACTCTTCAATATGGATGGGAGTAGAACTACCTTGTTTGCACATGCACAGTTCTCTTGGTTCTGGTAAATCAGCTATTAGCTCTGCTTCAACATCAGGATTTGCCCACGAACACCTTACGACGGCCGACTGAATTTCAAATTTGTTGGATTTTCTCTTATGATTCTTGATCGGAAGGTGGTCGTTACCTTCTGTTTACTACACAACCAGGACGAAAAGACCAAAAAGTCGTACAGTGTATGCCCAGCCTGAGGATTACCAGATAAATAGAGATGTATGTCATCCGTGAAAATGGATGTTCAATTTCTGAAAGAAATGGTCCCAAAGACAGAACCGTGAGGCCCTCCGGTTGTGACAGGGGATGGATCAGAGTAGAATGACTTACTCTGGATGAACCCACATACTGGAAACTTTTCTCTAAGAATCTATTTAGAACTTCTCATGGGAATATCCCTTTAAATTATGAAACCATATATTTATAAAAGTTTAAAGGTAAACATGTTAGTACAAGATGTGTTTTCTTTTTCCAAATGTTTGAGGAAGACTTTCTATAGTCATCATAAAACATTTTAAGTAAGTTAAACACTTTTTAGATTGTGATAAAACCGGTCTATACAGCGATGGTGCAGGCGTTAAGTGTGTGACCAGCAATGTACGTATAGAAGCTTTGGTCCTTGATTTGTCCATCACAAGTTTGAGTCCCGAGCTGTTGACCTTTGCTGCATGTTCTCCTCCACTCTCTAATCCTATTTTCTGTCTGCCTACTTTAAAAAATAAAATAAACTAAAGGCCACTAGAGCCTAAAAATAATCTTAAAAAAAACGGTTTAGCAATAATGGGCAAACTGTGAAAACACTATGTACTTGAAGGTTTACATTTGTAACAAAATAGTCTCTGTTTCGTTTGATGGTGAAAAATCCCCTGATATTTAAAAGATAATGTAATTAAGATGATGTGAAAATCCAGAACGAATGCGGTGACTTTAATGTTTAATGCTTTAGAGCTATCTGCAAGAGTCACTGCCATTGCCTCTCTTGCGTCAGTAAACTTGAACTTATTGGATAAAATCTTATTTAACAATAAAAGATATTAAGGTCTCTGTATAAGTGCCTTATGTTCTCATTCAAATCCAAAGAAATCACTGCTGCCCTCTACTGATTTATTAGGATAGGAGAACAGAGAGGCAGCAAGCGCAAAATGTTGTGATGTTGCATTGGAATGGGACCAGAGCACAATCATTCAGTCACATCAGCAGCTGTTTTATAACAATAAATGTTGTCAGAAGTTAGTATTAAGTTATAAAATAAAGATTACCTTTTAACAGAGAGAGCTCATTATTCTGCTTCTATGCAGGATACAGACTGGGACGGGATTTCCAGCAGCTCTCTCATCACTCCAATGACCAGTGATTGTTACAATTCACCTAATAAATTACATAAAAATACAAAAAGATTTATATTTCTTTCAGTGAAATCAGGAATTGATCTAATATAATAAGTTAAGCAGAGGATCCATAAAGCTGCTGCAATAACCCTCACATCAACAATTAGCCCCTTGGGTTCACTTATACACTCTGCATCCCCAGTACCAAACATGAAGAAGCAGCATTTAGTTCTTGTCCTGCATTAGTCTAGAATTATCTCCCAGAAGTCTATAAACATACTTAAACCCTGGGTTATTTTAAATCAATTAAAAACCCATTAGTTTAGAGGTGCCTCTGAATGTCCCATTCAAACAGTTAACTGAAATGGCCTTTATTATATCGCTGCAATGTTCTTTTTTTTATGTGATTTCTTTTTGTATTTACATGAAGTAAGTTTCATTCTAAAGTTACAGCAATGTGCTGCACAAATAACCTTGCCTGACTTGCAACCAAGCCAAACATTTGACACATTGCCAGCAGAAACATTTATGTTAAATGAGGAGAAAATAATTGAGCTGGTGGTGGACTTCTGCAGGTGCAGACCCAACACTCTGACACTAATAAATATACCGGTAGTTTAAGTATATGG